GCAGTAATAGGGAAGAAAAAGATGCCAAAGTCTTGTTCATTATATTGTCGAATCATGTTCAATATTGCACGACAAAATTGACTTATAGCACTTATAATCAAACCATTTTCTTATGATATTATTGTAGGAATTCCAACTACTCCCTAAACTCGCAAGGAGCCAGCCTGCAGTCAACAAAGCCAAACTTCAGAATGCATCTTCAGTGGAGGAGGCATTAGAAATTGCTCGAGCTTCATTGCAGGTTGGAACTGCAGCTTAGTTTGTATCAGTAGCTGGATTTTTTCAATCATAGAGCAGTAATTTTTCTCCTTGTTGGTCTACGTTTTATGGCTTTATGTGGAGGCTAGCCTGATGTTAATGAGCCTAAGCCTCTGCCTGTATTTTGAATACCTCCGTTCTATTACTTTACCATGCCAATATGTATGTATGTATGTATGTATGTATGAAGAGAGAGAGAGAGAGAGAGAGAGAGAGAGAGAGAGAGAGCATTTGATGGTAAATTAGTTGGACAATAACATATTGCTTAATACTTTTTTTGTTACTATTTTTATTTGTGAAAAAAGTAATTATGGCATATTTTTACCAGTGTTTTAAAAACTGCATCTAGACACGAAGCGAGGGCAAAATTCTTTACCTTGACAGCGTAAATTTAAGTTGACCGCCTAATGAGTGCCTAGGTGGGTGGCGTGCTTTATTAATTTTTTTTTTTTTCGTTTTTCAAAAACCTTTTACTTTATTGTAGTTTATTAACTTTTTTATTTTTTTCTTTTTTTAAAAAAAAATTTTATTTAACTTTTCAAATCTTTAAATGACTTTATTTGTACAAAGGTTAAAAATAACTTTATCCGATAAAGATTTAGACAAAATTTAAGTTATGGTGCTATTTATATTATGTAGTTATGATTTTGAAACTTATTATTTTATTGAAAACTTAGAAAGTATGTATGAAATTTTTATAAATCTGTTAAGTAAGACTTTCTAGTTGAAAGTTGAAAAATAGTTTAGTTTATGCATTTTGAAAATTTGAAAATTGTATGATTGACTAGTTGTAGAAATTATTAAATAAATATAGTATTCTATAAATTTTAGTTGTTTCTTTCAATTATTAAATGATTATTAGAATTATTAAGTACTTAAAATAATAATAAAAATAAGTAATGTTTTTTTAAGCCTAAGTCTCGTCTATGTTTGCATCAGCTCGTAAAGCTTTATGTTTGGTCTTCACGTTTAGCCACGTTTTATTTTGTTAGAACACTAATTTTTTTTACTAGTTACAAGTGCACATGATACAATTCCTACTTTTCATTTAGTTTTTATCAGTCACATAGAAGACTAAGTCCATGTTTGGTTCAATTTAAAAAGTTGATTATAATTGAAGTTAAAATTAATAATAAATTTTAATTATATATTTTATGGGAGTCACACATTTTTATTTTATCATACGCCAAGTTTCAAATCAAATTCTGAGTGGTCTTATTTAGACTGCAGCTGGTGAAGACTTCTACAGTCTAAATAAGACCACTCAGAAGTTCTAGATGGTACTACACACCCTTCTACAATTCAATTTATTCATTTCATAGATTCCCTGGTGAGAAATTTAAGGGTAGCTTTATTTCTTATTTTAGACCAGTTTGTAAGATTATTGCTGCCTCGAAAGTCGAAACAATAACTGGGAAAGATTGGTAGGAGCCATACTTCCGAGGAAGGAACTTCGACGAACTGCTTTATTAGAAGAGTCGAGGGAACCTAGCTTCAATTCTGTATCATCATCCAATTTTAGTTTTTAGGTCAAGTTTAGAAATAAATGTCAGGGGATTTAACATATTTCAACTCTTTGATTGTCACCAGCGCATCGAGGTCTCTAAATTCATTAGGACTGACATGGATCCGAGGAAGATGTGCATGACTTTTCTAACTCCCTTTCTAATGTGGGGCATGAAGGTAAGTTGTTTTTGTTTTTGTCATTGTCGGTATTTTAGAAAATTACACGCACCTTAATTTTCTTAACACTTCGTTCAAATTTTCTTGCCATTTGAATCTTTTCATTTTTTTAATATTTGGGTCTAACTTTCTATTTTACCGCGTTTGACTTCATCGTAACACATTCTTTTCAATATATGTTTATAAAATTATTGGTCACATAATTTGGTCTGCCTCGAGTTTCGTCACTACTTTGAAAAAGTCACACATTTCGGAAAATGAATAGTGGGTTTATTGAAGATATATATTCAAACTATATGAATCTCGCAAATTGAAGTATTAATTATAATTAATGAAAGATTTTGTGTCCCTTCCGAGATTCAGGTAAATGATCCGGATTTTGACATCGCGATTCACTTTTTCCCTGTGTTAGGAAACTAATATAAAGTCAATGTGCATAATTTTTTTGAAAAAATCATGAGTATGCAGAATTAATTTCCGTAGAGACTTGAAAATAGCCCGACGAGAAGGAGAATGTGAATGAGAAGTGCATCGAAGACTGGAAAAAGGATCAAGAATAAACTGCAGAGATTGCAGAATTACAATCCTTATTGGTTACAAAGTTACCAAGTGCAAGTGCAGAAGAGAACCTAATTCTTGTGTTATCTGTAGATTATGTGAATGGAGTGTTAAATTATACATTGTTTTCAATAAAGTTTACTGATTTGAATTTCTTTTACTTTAATTTACCGATATGATTTAAATTATTAATTGCAAGCAAACACATAAATCGTTTCTTTAAAACAAAATTGAGATTTTGCTTTAGATTAGGTAGTCAATACTGTTTTTCGCCCCTTTTAAGTTTCAAATTAGTAAGAGGAAAATATTATCCCTCAATATTTGAAAATTTTACTTTTGGGCAGTTTTTATATTTTAGTCCTACCATCAATCTGGCAGTTATATATTATGCTACTTTTCTAAGTTCCATGAGGACTAAGTTTCAAAATTTGACATTTCAACTTAGGAAGCACTGCCACAATGTTTATACATGGTTTGTCAACATTCAACAAGAAACGATACTCAACAAAAAAATAAAAAAATATCTCAAATGTGTAATCTACCCAAGAAACACAAGAAAACATAATCCCGATTTCAAGCAATCTGTCGAGAATCGAGAAAAACTGATGTATCTATCTCCAATCACTAAATTTAGTACACGCATGTTTGATGAAGCTTGAGTTATATTTTAAGTTGATCGAACATATTTTTTATCCACACATTTAGTAAGAGACACTACTATCACCTACTTATTATCCAAATAGTTCTTAAATTCACAATTTATAATCAGTTCATTTCATCATAACTTTCTTCTCTAATCATTAATGTCACGAAACACAAGAAAATATAATCTTGACTTCAAGCGATCATATTGGAGAATCGAGAAAAACTGATAGTATCTACGTCCAATTATTAAAATTAGTTCATTATTATTGATGTCGAAAATTGTATAAACAATATTCAAGTCAACTTAAAATGTCAATAAGAGTTTTATTGATAACGACTCGCAAATTATAATTATAACTACAAGTGTTTATTCTTTTTCCTCAATGAGATATTTGAAATAAGATCGTCAATATGCCACTTACTGATTGACTATTTGTATAATGTGCCAAAAACCAATAATCATTATGTTCCTTCAAGTGAAAATTGTATGGACAAAATTCATACAATTTTTGACGTCAACAATTATAATTTAAATTGATCGAATATACTTTTTATTCACACATTTAGCTATGATTGTCTTCTATTTTTTCAAAACTCTATTTTTCCACTCGTTTTCAATCACAATCATACAATAAGATATTTTACACATAAATCCAATCTCACATTATCCAAAATTCACTATTTAAAATAATATTTTTCTAAAAATTGACCACCAAACAGGAGCTTAATATGACGCATTATTACTATCCACTTATTATCCAAACATTTCATAAATTCTCAACTTATAATCAGTTCATTTCATCGTTACTTTCTTCATTAATGTCATGAAATATAAATAAATATAATTCTTCATATATATAGAAATTACTAATTATTTGGTTTCCATTTTAATTAAATTTTGGGAAAATGTATTTTGGAATAATAATATAAAAAAAAGTTTTAACTTTACGTAAAATATTATTTTATTGAAGAATGAAAGAGAAATAAAAATAAATTATAATAGTAATGGAGCCAACAGTGGCTTAATATAAGATGCCACTATTGCAATTTGAATTTATCGTGCAATTCTAAGGAGTCTTATTCAGACAACAGTAGGTGAAGACCTTTACCTCTGAAAATCACATAATCCGTAAACAATTTATAACAAATAGAAGAAGAAATGCTACTGATATATAGGCAATTCAATGAAGCAGAAATTTGTTTACAATGTGAATCTATTTTTTGATTGATTGATAAAGAAAAATTACAAAGGTTTTTATAGACAAAAAAAAAATACAACCACCTTGCCTATGTGGCAATAACAAAATTCTGTTATATACAACTAAAAATGGAATCAATTTAACTTCTTTTAGTATAGTGCCAGCACTTCTTCATTCCAGCAGCTTCCAGCAGCTCATTTACGATTGAATCTTCAATGGCCTCCCTCAAGGTGGAGAGTAGATGTCTTCTACTCCCATCTTGGATAAATGTGAATGAAATAAAGCACTACTTAAGGGTTTAGTAAAAATATCAGCGATTTGTAAACCGGTTCTTACATGCTTTGTAACAATGCTTCCTTCTTGTATTTTGTCTCGAACCAAATGACAATCCAACTCAATATGCTTGGTCCTTTCGTAAAAAACTGGATTGGCCGCAATGTACAAAGCTGCCTGATTATCACAAAATAATTCGGCCGCTTGTGGATGTGAGATTTGCAAATCATCAAGGATATATCTGAGCCAAGTTAACTCACAACAGGTGGCTGCCATTGCTCTATATTCTGCTTTGGCAGACGACCTGGAGATGGTATTTTGCTTCTTGGAATTCCAAGATATTAGTGAGGATCCAATGAAAACGCAATAACCCGTATCGACCTCCTAGAGTCTGGACATGCCCCCCCAGTCTGAGTCAGTATAGGCCTTGAGTTGTAAATTTGAGTTTGAGGGGAAAAATAATCCTAAACCTGGTGCTCTCTTGATATACCTGAGTATCTTACGTGTAGCATTCATATGAGATGTCCTAGGAGCTTGCATATATTGACTCAGCAAGTGCACTGAATACAACAAGTCAGGCCTGGTAATAGTCAAATAGAGCAGTCTCCCAACTAGCCTTCTGTATGAAGCTGGATCAGGCAGTGTGTCTCCTTCATCCTTGGACAATTTAACATTCTGATCAAGAGGAATCTTGGCTGGAGTAACTCCAATTGTCCCTAAGTCTGATAGAATATCCAATGCATATTTTCTTTGACAGATTTGAATACCTTTAGTTGATCTAGCCACCTCTATTCCAAGAAAATACTTTAGATTTCCTAGATCTTTAATCTTGAATTTCTCATCAAGCAAAACTTTAAGAGAATCAATTATTTTCTCATTGCTTCCAGCTATTATTATGTCATCAACATAAATCAGTATGGTAGTGAAGGAATCACCTGTACTCCTGACAAACAAACTGTAATATGCCTTTGATTGTTGGAATCCCTGTTCTATGATGAAAATGGATAGTTTGGAGTACCATTGTCGAGACGCCTGCTTCAAGCCATACAAACTTTTGTTGATTTTGCAAACTTTAAAAGATCCCTTGTTGTGCAAATCTGAATTTTGATCAGTAGAATACCCAGGGGGAATCTCCATATATACCTCCTCTTCTAGGCTTCCATGTAAGAATGCATTATTCACATCGAATTGATGTAAATACCATCCTTTGGCTGCTGCTATGGCTAATAGTGTTCTTACTGTCACTAACTTTGCCACAGGAGAGAATGTCTCGTGATAATCCACTCCTTCCAATTGAGTATATCCCTTCGCTACAAGCCTTGCTTTATACCTCTCGATGGTTCCATCTACATTGAACTTGATCTTGTAAACCCATCTGCAGCCTATAGGAACTTTTCCAGGTGGTAAGTCAGTCACAGTCCAGGTTTAATTCAACTCAAGAGCATTAATCTCATCTTTTATAGCTTTGCACCATTCGGGAGTATTGATAGCTTCTTGGTAAGTAGATGGTTCAGAATGTGCAAAGATGGATTATGTAAAAGCTTTGTGATGTTTAGATAGTTTATGATATGATACGGTTGCACATAAAGGAAAAGCAGTACTTGGAATCACAATCCCTTTCTTCTTATCAGACGTTTGAGAATGAGTGAGTGAGGCAACTTGTTGGTAGATGAAGTCTTGTAGGTAAGCAGGTGTTTTCTTGCTTCTTTCAGACCTTCGAGGAACATAGGAGTTATTTGGAGGTTCATGTTGATCTCTATACTCAGAATTAGGCTGATCATCTTCTGAGATTTCAATATTTGGATTAGGTTCCTGATCTGGCGCTTCTGGCAATTAAGTATTGAAAACAGGGGGATAATCTAAATTGAGGTCTACAGGTTCTGGATAGGATAATTGAGAAGGAGTAGGCAGTTTATGATCAAGGTTGGATCTATCGACATAGTCTTGATCTTTGCAGTTTCTGAAGGGGAAAACGTAATCATAGAACTTGACATTCCTTGATATAAAGATCTTTTCAGTCTCTAAATCAAGTAATTTATATCCCTTAGTTCCAAAAGGATATCCCAAAAAGACACACTTCCTCCCCCTTGAGTCGAATTTGTGCCTATTGTGCGTGAGTGTGTGGTGGCAAATGCTAAGCAACCGAAGACTCTGAGATCACTATATGCAGGTTTGTTTTTAAAGAGGATTTCAAAAGGAGATTTGTTATTTAAAATCGGTGTAGGGACTCTGTTTATCAAGAATACAGCAGTTAAAATGAAATCCCCCCAATACTTCATAAGTATACCACTCTGAAATTTCAGAGCCCTTGCCACATTTAATATATGTTGATGCTTTCTCTCAACCACAGCGTTTTGCTAAGGAGTTTCAACGCACAAGGTTTGGTGTATTATTCCTTTTCTAGAGTAGAATTCCTTTAAGGCAAATTCCCCTCCATTATCAGTCCTAATCACTTTGATTTTTGAAGAAAATTGTGTTTCAATCATATTATAGAAACTCTGCAAAGTAGTTGAAGCGTCTGATTTCAAATTTTAGTAAATAGGCCCAAGTGCATCGACTATGATCATCAACAATAGTGAGAAAATACTTTGATCCTTCATAAGAAACATTGGTACACAATCTCCATAGATCACAATGAACTAAGTCAAAACATTTTTCTGATCTGTGCAAACTGGTATTGAATGGTTTCCTATGAAGTTTGGCTAAGGGACAGATAGGACACAGTTTCATGATGTGCTTGTGGTTGGAATTTTGATGCAGGTTGGTCAGACGCAATCTAGGATCTGAGGGATGACCTAATCTGAAGTGCCACAGGTCAAAATCCTCTTGATTAACGGCAGCGGATATGGTGATTTTGCTGGTGAGTTCTGGTAATTTCTGAATCAAGCTATCAGGAGGGACTTTATTTTGCACTAGATGGTATAGGTCTTGCCTCACTTCACCCAGACCAATCGTCCTCCAAGTTGAAAGGTCCTGCACGAAACATAGATCAGATGAAAATATAAGGCAACAACTTGATGTCTTGGCAAGCTTCCTAATAGATATCAAATTAAATGAGAATGATGGAACAAAAAGAACATCATGGAGGTGCAGATTTTCTGTAATTTTAACATTTCCTATATGAGTGGCAATAGTGACATCTCCATTAGGTAGTCTAATGGGATGTGCAACTTCAGATTTTATTTCTGTAAGGCACGAAATAGAGCAGACCATATGATCAGTAGCTCCTGTGTCTATGATCCAAGGGTAGATGAGGTTGTTCTATTTTCATTATCATAAGCTGATAAACATATATATGTACCAGAAACTTTGAGTGCATCAGTGTGACTTGTGGAAGGAGAGTTTGGAACATGATTAGCAGAAAGGGAATGTGAATGATTGATTGACGATTTGAGCAAAGCCATCAGTTGAGTATACTGCTCCTGGGTTAAAGCCACTTGGTTGCTGTCATAGACTTGTTCCTGTGTAGTCCTTATGGCATCTGCACTGTGATTGGCAATAACAGCATTTACGTTTGTTCTTCCATAGAGTTTGTGGCCTGGAGGATAGCCATGGATTTTAAAACAGTTGCTGATGGTATGGCCTGGCATTTGGCAATGTGTGCACATTGGCTTATCTTTGTTGGGTTTGAAACACCTTTCAAGTGAATGGCCAGAGATTTTACAGAATGTGCAAAAGTACTTCTTGGACACAAACTCTCTCATCTCTGTCTCCCTTAAGTTATTTCTTCTAACCATCATTGTCATTCCATCAGAGATAGGAACATCAGAAGAGATATCTCTTCTCTTTTCCTCCTGCTGCACGATGGAATATACTTCATTCAGTTTGGGAAAAGGCTTTATCAATAGAATCTGAACCTTAATGGCCTTGTAAGAGTCATCTAGCCCCGTAAGGAACTTCATCACCCAGTCTCTCTCCTGATTGCTGATCACAGTTTGCAGACCTCCACAGGTACAATTGGGAATTGACTCATAGTTCATGAGTTCATCGAGCAATGTTTTGAGTTTTGAAAAATAAGTGCTGACAGAATCTTGCTCCTGCATCAACGTTGTTATTCCCTATTTGACTTCAAAAATTCTGGGGGCATTTTGTTGAGCCAGGCGTTGCTCCAGCTCCAGCCAGAATTGATGGGCTGTCTCTACATAAAGCGTACTAGCTTTAATGTCCACTGTCATGGTATTTTGTAGCCAAGTTATGACTATGTCGTTACAACGTAACCAGTGCTCCAACAGTGGGCTATTAATATCAGCAGGCTCACAGATGCTTCCATCAATGAAGTCAAGTTTGTTTTTAATTCGAAGTGCCCTTTTCATCGACCTTGTCCGGGAGTGGTAATTGCTGGAGTCAAGCATCTGAGTTACCAGGAGTGCTCCAGAGTTTTCATTGGTTCCAATGAAATAAGGATCATTAGGAAAAGATGGATCATGGCCATTCTGAATGGGGTTAACGTTTTGCTGTGGGATTTGGCTTTGATTTTGAATTTGGTTTTGATTTGCATCAGTAACATTGATCTCTTGATTATCAGCCATTGCTCTGATACCATATAACAAATAGAAGAAGAAATGCTACTGATATATAGGCAATTCAATGAAGCAGAAATTTGTTTACAATGTGAATCTATTTTATGATTGATTGATAAAGAAACATTACAAAGGTTTTTATAGACAAAAAAAAAATACAACCACCTTGCCTATGTGGCAATAACAAAATTCTGTTATATACAACTAAAAATGGAATCAATTTAACTTCTTTTAGTATAGTGCCAGCACTCCTTCATTCCAGTAGCTTCCAGCAGCTCATTTACAATTGAATCTTCAACACAATTCAATCGTTATTGCATTCCTTAAACTCCTTGTGAGAAATTTCCTCACGAGTCGATAAGGCCGATTCTCTTAATTATTTGATCATTCTATAACATTTTTGCTCTAACGAAGAGATGCCCAAAGTCTATGATGATTGGGAGAGATTGGTTGAAGCCGTGCTTAAGAGAGAGGAACTTAGAAGAATTGCTTTAGATAGCTCCAGAGATCCCAGTTTTAATAGCTCCGAATCTTCTAGTTTAAGTTTCGGGGCAAGTTATAGTGGACATGACCCAGATTTTGATAGGTTTCCACCATCATTTCCTCGTCGGCCCGACGTGAACTCCAAATCAAGGACCACCGCAGGATATGAATCCAAGAAAGATCTGCATGACTCTTCTATTTCCCTTTCTGAAAGAGACAGAAAGGCAGGACATGAATTGAAGGAAGAACTACATGACTCTTCTATTTACCTTTCTGATAGAGGCAAAACAGCAGGATATGAATCGAGGGAAAATTTACACGACTCTTCTATTTCTGTTGCTGAAAATTACAAAAAGGTAACACATTTTTGTGGTTTCGGGCTTATCAGATCTCAATTTTCGTGCTCATCTGAATACTTATACTTGGATTCTTCTTCTGCAGAAAGTGACCATAAAAGTACTGATAAAGGATGACAGACAAAAACGCAAGGCCATGAAAGCGGTGAGAAGCCTTCCAGGTTAAAAATTTTCTTCTTTGTCTAGTTTGTTTTATCTTCTTTTTTCTTTTCTTCCTTCCTATTCAAGGGCCAGAAATATGTCTGGAATCTAGGCATATTTCTAGATTTGCTCCTTAAGGATCCTCCTTCGAGAAATATCGAGATAAAGAATTGAGAATGACTAGAACAATTGATAAAGTGAGTGCATGTTTTGATAGGAAAATAAATTGTCTTTTTAATATTTGGATCTAACTTTCATAAAATATTAAAATTTTTGCTAGAAAATTCCGGAATGTCACTAATCCAATCTCACATTATCCAAAAATTCACTATTTAAAATAATATTTTTCTAAAAATTGACTACCAAACAGGAGCTTAATATGACGAATTATTACTATCCACTTATTATCCAAACATTTCATAAATTCTCAACTTATAATCAGTTCATTGCATCGTTACTTTCTTCATTAATGTCATGAAATATAAATAAATATAATTCTTCATATATATAGAAATTACTAATTATTTGGTCTCCATTTTAATTAAATTTTGGGAAAATGTATTTTGGAATAATAATATAAAAAAAATTTTAAGTTTACGTAAAATATTATTTTATTGAAGAATGCATCATTGATGAAAGAGAAATAAAAATAAATTATAATAGTAATGGAGCCAACAGTGGCTTAATATAAGATGCCACTATTGCAATTTGAATTTATCGTGCAATTCTAAGGAGTCTTATTCAGACAGCAGTAGGTGAAGATATTAACCTCTGAAAATCACGTAATCCGTAAACAATTCAATCATTATTGCATTCCTTAAACTCCTTGTGAGAAATTTCCTCACGAGTCAATAAGGCCGATTCTCTTAATTATTTGATCTTGTATAACATTTATTCTCTAACGAAGAGATGCCCAAAGTCTATGATGATTGGGAGAGATTGGTTGAAGCCGTGCTTAAGAGAGAGGAACTTAGAAGCATTGCTTTAGATAGCTCGAGGGATCCCAGTTTTAATAGCTCCGAATCTTCTAGTTTAAGTTTCGGGGCAAGTTATAGTGGACATGACCCAGATTTTGATAGGTTTCCACCATCATTTCTTCGTCGGCACGACGTGAACTCCAAATCAAGGACCACCGCAGGATATGAATCCAAGAAAGATCTGCATGACTCTTCTATTTCCCTTACTGAAAGAGACAGAAAGGCAGGACATGAATTGAAGGAAGAACTACATGACTCTTCTATTTCCCTTTCTTATAGAGGCAAAACAGCAGGATATGAATGGAGGGAAAATTTACACGACTCTTCTATTTCTGTTGCTGAAAATTACAAAAAGGTAACACATTTTTGTGGTTTCGGGCTTATCAGATCTCAATTTTCGTGCTTATCTGAATACTTATACTTGGATTCTTCTTCTGCAGAAAGTGGTCATAGAAGTACTGATAAAGGATGACAGACAAAAACGCAAGGCCATGAAAGCGGTGAGAAGCCTTCCAGGTTAAAAATTTTCTTCTTTGTCTACTTTGTTTTATCTTCTTTTTTCTTTTCTTCCTTCCTATTCAAGGGCCAGAAATATGTCTGGAATCTAGGCATATTTCTAGATTTGCTCCTTAAGGATCCTCCTTCGAGACATATCGAGATAAAGAATTGAGAATGACTAGAACAACTGATAAAAGTGAGTGCATGTTTTGATAGGAAAATAAATTGTATTTTTAATATTTGGATCTAACTTTCTTTTAAGTATCTTTAAAATAAATTGTCTTTTTTATTGGTTGATGTGGGAAGCAACTGAGTTACATATTCTGATAGGAAAATAAAAATTATTTTCAAATTAAATACATAATTTTTTGCCTTTAAAAAGTAAGAACAAGAACAAGTACATATATATCTCAACATATTTAGAAACGCGTTTACAGAAGATATAAATGTAAAAATATAATTTGTCTGGTTCTATTTATTTTAGATATCATTATCTGGTCTGCTTGTCGCTTCTTTTGTAGGGATTGACTCTCTTTCTGTTGACATGAAGGAGAAGAAAGTAACTATAGTTGGGGACTTTGATCCAATTCACGCAGTGAACAAATTGAGAAAAATGTTTTATGCGGAAATAATCTCAATAGGGCCTGCAAAAGAACGCGAGACGGAGGAGGATAAAATTGAAGTCAACGGAAGAAGAAAGGATCAAATTGAGGTCGACGAAAGAAAAAGGGATAAAAGGGAGGTCACCGAAAGAATTAATGAACAAAGAAAGGTTGACGAGAGAAAAAGTGCTCAAAGTGAACAAGTTGCAGAGCTTGTGAAGCACTACAAGAGTTACTTCCCTTATCACTACCAGAGTTACAACCTTTATTACTATGCTGACGCTCCAGAAGATGACCCTAAATCTTGTGTTATTTGTTGATTATGTGATTTAAGTGTTCTCTTTAATTATTATTCAATATATACAAAACATGATTGTTTAAATATCATTCTTATTTATTACATAATTCTTATTACAAGAATTTCATAAACGCTTCCGTACTAAAATTAGTATCTAAGCAAGGACATTGCCTCAATCTGATAGCCGACAATGGTCATGTTGGCAATTGAACAGTCGACGATGAATGGAGGCTCGACAAACTCGAACAACGAATCGAGGGGATCGATGAAACCCTTCATAACATCACATAGATGATGATTGCGTTGAGTCTTGAAAGGAATTGTGAACCCATGAAGAAGCAAGCTAACAAGAATTTACAGACTTTAACTACTATGAATGTTGGTTGCTTCAACAAGATTAAAATACGGCAACAGGTGGTTAGAAAGTTTTCTCAAGTCCCAGCTAAATTTGAATACACACAAGTTATCAAGGATTCTACGAAATTCTATCGAGAAAATATAAAAGAGTCCAATTTAAAGCGCAACAAAATTTTTAAAACACGATGTATCATCAACAACAAAGTATGCAAAGTGATAATAAATCATAATAGTTAGAATTTGATGTCCAAAGCATTAGTGAAAGCTTTAAATTTGAAAACTCAAAAATACTCATTTTATTATCAAACTTCACAGGAGCAAGAAATTCAAAATATGGAGGTATGTAAAATTTCACTTTTTTCCTGAAACGTACTACAAATATGAGATTATATGTAACGTGGTAGAGACAGACAATTGTCATGTACTTTGGGGACAACCATGGTATATGATGTAGATGCCACATCCATAGGTCAAGATAATAGATATGTGTTTAGGTGGTACGATAAAAAGATTGTCTTGGTGTCATGTGATGAGCAATATATGAATGATAAAGAGAAAAAGGCTTATAAAGGAGATGATGAGGCTAAAAAAAAAGTAATTCAAGATGATCAAGATGTTATTAACCATATTACTAAAACTAAAAAAGAAAAGCATGTGCAAGTTGAAAATTCGAAACCTGTTGATTCCTTGTATATGAAAACTACAAGTGAAAACTTCAAGATTGAGCTGCACTCCAAGGATTAAACAAGTTGAAGATCAGAAGTGTCCAATATGAAAGGAAGAAATTAAATTTTGCAATCACGAAGGAGTCAAATGTAAAGATTGTCAAATTGAGAATAAAAATTTTGTTGACTTTTTCTACAGCTTTAGTGTCAAAGAATTGCATAAAAATAAGGAAAACATAGACGATGAGGATTTGAGTTCACGTACCAATTCTTTTGTGTTTAAAAAAAATCACTAAACATTATAGTAAAATGTGAGAAGTACGAAGAATTGAAAATAGTACAAGTGGTCTCTATCAAGGACGAATTCAATGATGAGAAATCAAATCATGCTTCGTTTATTAAGAAATGTCATTTGCAAATAATATGTGAAGAAAATATAACAAGCATGATATGAACAAAGTTGACTTTGAAGAATGTAACTGAAGAATATAATGAAGAAAATTGTCATTTTTTCAATATCGGTATTTGCAAAAAATTTTGAGAATTTTCCTCCCGATTGATTGATTTTTTCTTCAAAAAAACTCGAGGATGAGTTTTATTCAAGTGGAGTGGATTGATGTAATACATAATCATGATTAGTAGTTTCATACTACAATTGTGATTTATCTTTTCTAATTCTAATATGTTTTATCTTTTTATTCTTATTTCTTGTTTAGAATATGATTTTTTTTATTTATTGATTAGAATAGGATATATAATTTATTTTAGATTATGATTATGATTATGATTTATTTTCTTTTAAAATTTAATTTCCTTATATTAATATGATTATGAAATAATTTTGCCTATAAACACAATGGCGTTGTACATTTTTCAACAATAATCAATTATTATTCAATATATACAAAATATAATTGTTAAAATATCATTATTATTTATTACATAATTCTTATTACAAGAATTTCAAAAACGTTTCCGCACCAATCAGTATGCATGCGCTTTTCAGTGCTGGTACTCCAAATCTTCGTGGACAATTTCATCGGATCCATGTTGAAGACAACGGGGCAGTTGTTAGACCATACATGCGGATCGCTACTTAACAACAAGGAATTTTCTACAAATAAGGCAAAAGTAACTTATCAAAAATGTTTTAGAACAAATAGTTACTTAAAGTTAGTTTAACTTTTAAGCTTAAACAAACCAATTGTTAATGTTTTTCCTAATAGTATTCCCAGTTAGGACTATGAGTAGTCGTGCTTATGTAGTAAACATCGAATCCCTTGATCATTCATAGTGAGCATTATTGATAAAAAAATAAAAAATAAAAAATTAAGGGACTAGATATATGCCACACAAAATGACTAATAGTAGTCCTCAATGTGAATAGCATTATTCGAATATTTTATTAGATTGGAAATGAAATTTCTGAGTTGTTTAGAGGCTCTCCTATGCTTTTAATTAAGGTTTACCTATGTTTATGTGAGGATTTAGTGAATCATATTTAGCCATATGTATCACAAATGTAAACTTTTTGAGGAATTTCAGCCTAACCAATGATTATCATTAAGTTTGTTATTATTGCAAAATCAAAAAGCCCATCTTCAAAAACTGTCCAAAAATTCAAGTGCTACCTGATAAGAAAAATTATTTAAAAAAAGGGCTTGGTGAGTGAAGAATTTCGAAAATAATTATACTTTCTCATTTTATACATGTTTATCGAAAATTGAGTTCACATCATTTAGCAATTCACTGTATTACATTCATTAATAATAATAGTAAAGTTCATGAGACATTCCTAATGCAATTTAGCAGTGTTCGAAATTATAATATGTACATCTATATCACATTAATTCCGAATAAGTAATATCATTTCCCAATCATCAGATGAAATATGTACGGTAATCTCATCACATACCAATACACCGTAAAATCTTACAAAAAATGTACCCTCCGACTAAAATCTTTAATATGGTCATACGTGAATGGCGTCTATGCACGGGCCTAATGCCCCCTCACTTCACGGAAGTCGGTCCCAAAGACCTATGATAATGTATTCTAGTACAAAATCATGACCCCTCTGTATATTATCATACACGATCATAACCCCTTTCTGCATTACAGAACACACATATGACACGTCAGTACACTAAAATAGATAGAATCATAGGTACTTTTAACAATTTACTTGTTTGCAATTTCTCAACATAATAGTATAATAAGCATTTCATAATAATCATGTAATTTGCCAAACAATTCATAAAAATCTCACATAACATATTAGTATAATCAACTTCTCAAATATTTAATTTTCCACTCATAGAACTGACTACCTACTGGAAACTAAATCGACTGATAGTTGTCACTATGTCCGTTCACCTACTGTGATGACAATTCGAGTCAAAACTCAATTGTTTCCAATCCAAGTTAATATTTAATGACAAGGCACCAGTTTCACTTTGCAATCTATCTCTATTCACTCATTCAATTTCATCCCTTGCTGCCTACATGCATGTAGCTATTACGTGTATCGGAGTCTAATTACCGGTTGCTGATGACATAACAAGAACAAAAAATCTGAATTTGTTTTTCCTTCTCATTTCCCAGCGTGTTTTGAGGATACAAGAAAGTCCATCACTTTTCCTTTTTTGTTGCAATCTGTAATAATTCCTGCTCAAATGAATTCAATTTCCATTGCCATCTCCGCTAGTCAAAGCATATTTACACACGTACTTATCCAGTCAAACCCATTTCAATATCCGCCTCTTTCTCTCCCAGCAGATTTCAAGGCCATTTTGTTTCTCTCACCCCAACACATTACGCTATTGTCTACTTATTCACATTCAAGACTAGTAATTTAGTATTTCTTGATTAATTTTGCATATTCATTGCATTATTTAATTATTTGGCCACCAATTAGATAATTAGTTACTTATTATAATTTTTGGAATACTCACAATAAGTTTAAAACGCGACAAAATTAATATATATGCAATAGATGTTAGCAATAATTTTTAGCACATGTGCAATCATATAGATAATCTAAAATTTAATGCATTATATTCATTCGAATTCGGGTTATGAATAAATTTGGATCGTAGTTATGATAGATTCAAGTTGTCTTGGAAAAAAAAGTTAAATACATTAGTTTTATCGATTATCAAGAATGCATGAAAATAACTAGATTACAAATCAAGAATTGAAATGGATAGCATTAGGCAAATTCAAAATTCAATACAATTATCCATAATTTGATAAAAATCAAACTTTTATAGCTTTCTTAGATTAATTTAGGATACATTAAATCAAAAACATTTTTGTGTTACATAATTTAAACTCCATATAAAACTAATAAACTTGAATTGAATTTATTCCCTATGGGACGACATCCTCAACTCACTAATTATATTACTTGTAAATGATTATGTGCGCTTGCGAATTTTGCACGAACATAAGACATTGGAAATATAATGAAGCTATTGGGATATTTCGAAATTAACCCTTTATCATATTACGTACTTCTAATTTATTGCATAAAATAAAAGACTTGGTTCGACTTTTATAGTTAACTTGATATTTTTCTCTCTCTTATTTATACATCTTATAAAATTTTAGTGAATTATTAATGTAGTAGGAAAAATATCACATCATATACCAAGTCAAGGATACTATTTTTAATTAAAAATCCAAATAAATCGATATTATATGAATTGTAAAATCATATAGTTGAATTCAAAAAAAAATAATTTCAACGGTTTACAATAAGAGCATTGAGATTTTACTAACCAAGTGATTTTTGGATGGATGCTCTTTTATGATATGACTTATTTATAAGTCGTAATATGCGATTTAAACATATTTAAATCGATTAAATGGAAGCATAAAAACTGAATTGAAAGGCATACCTCCAACCATTGTTATTTCTATTTTTTCGATTTCGAAAAGGGGTTCTAATCATTTCTCTTTTCTCACTGATGGTGTAACTTTAATCTGAAAATGAAGA